CGAACGGAATTCAAAACCCCATATTCCCCAAACCTTTAACGCCTGATAGGAACCCATTAAACGGAACTGCTTGCTACAGGCTACATCCCTTAAAAGCAATCCTGCACCCTAAATCCTGCACCCCTTGAAAGGGATTCCCAAAGCCCCGAAATCCTAGAATCTTGCGAGAAGGTGGGGAGCACTCTCGACGTGGCATCCCCTGGAGATCCACGACAGGCCTTTTGGGTTTAGGATTTATGGTGTAGGGCTTAGGGTTCAGGGTTTGGGGTTTTAGGGAGCCTAGGGTTCAGGGCTAATTCCATGTTAAAGAACTCCTGTGAGGGTCTCGGGTTCGTTTTGGGGGATTTCCGTTGAGGGTTCCTACCCAAAAGTTGGAAACCCAATAGCCTCGATCCTTAAGAGCATTTTATAGGGAATCCCAGCACTAGTGGGCCTTAATCCGGTTTCCAACTTTATGGGGTTTACTGTTTATAGAGGGAGGGCATTAGGGTTTAGGAAGTATGGGGTTTAGGGTTCCTTTCGGCCAAATGCGGTTAACGCAACAGCAAGTACAGTTCAGGGTTTAAGGATGTTCAAGTGCAAGGGCCTTAAAGTTTTGGGCTTGGGGGGGTTTAGGGCTCAGGGATTTCCACCCTAAACCCTCCACCCCATGGACCCCGGGCCCTACGACCCTAAACTGAAAATTTCATCGGGTTTTGGTTTGAACAGGCGCTGTTAATTTTAGATCCCCAATAGCCAATCTTTAAACTTTTTGGGTTCTTGTAGTTTAGTAGGAGTCGGAAAGTTTAACCTTGTGTTTCTGTGGCTTATTGGGGAAGCAAGTAATGTTTCGCTAGCTTTCCTAGACTTTCAATTCCTTTCGGGTGTAGGTTCGCAGGCGCAGAACATAACAGAGTAGGATGTGCGGCTTAGTGTTTCCCAGCGTGTTATTCGGGTTTAAAAGTTGATGCGAAGGTGGTAGCAGTAGCAGCAAACCAAGATAGCCCAAGATACAGCAATGAGAATTTCGCCAGCCAAAGGATGTCAAGCGATTTGGACGGGAACTGCAACTGCCCTAAACCCTTATGATACCCTATATAGAACCCTTAAAGGAACCCTTACAGGAACCATATAAAGGTGCATGGAGCCTTCGGGAATTGAAAATGTCGTCGATGGAGACTCATCTATGACTCTGAGGATATCGCCTCCCAGCTCCCGGGCAAACCCTAAACCCCAAACCCCCAAAACCCTGTGAAACCATAAAACCCTAAGCCCTACAAGACCCTAAAGCCTACACCCTTAAAACCCTATAAATCCCAAACCCAATAAAGCCCGATAAGAAAAACATAAAACCCAATAAAACCCCATAAAGCCCTAAACCCTAAGGCTCTGTTTGGGTCCATCCGATTGCCCTGGCAAGGCCTCAGTTGCTCGCAGTCACGAGGACGCCAGCAAAGGCGGGGACAGAGAGTTCGGACTTCAGGGTTTTAGGCTTTTTAGGGCGTTAAGGGTTCGGTGTTGTTGGGTTTAGGGTTCAGGGGATTTTAGGGTTTTAGGTTTTTAGGGCTTTAAGGGTTCGGGGTTGTTGGGTTTAGGGTTCAGGGTTTTTTAGGGTTTTCAGGGCGTTTAGGGCTTTTAGGGCCAAGGGTTGTCGGGTTTCGGGTTCAGGGTTTTAGGGCTTTAGCGTTCAGCGTTTTTGGGTTCCAGGGTAGAGATTCTACAGTTTATGGTTCAGGGTTTTAGGATGTAGGGCTGTAGAACCATTAAACCCCAAACCCCAAAACCCTGAACCCTACACCCTAGGGCTGCAGAGGGGTTAGGGTTGGGTACGGCCCCCACTCAGTAATAGCTGACTAATATTCATAATATAGACATATAGTAAGACCTTAATTGTTGCCCTGTTATAGACTATTACTGTATGGGGGCAGTACCTAAGGTTAGGGCTTAGTTGCTTTCTCGGGTTTCTGGCAGCATCTTCGTGCTCGACATGGGTAGTTGAAAAATTCTGGTCCCTTTTTGGGCACCCTAAATATTAGGTGCCGCAAGACATTAAGGACCAAAAGGGGACCCTTATTTGGACAACCTAGACGCCAAAAAAGTATGTACACCCTGCAAAGCAGTGCTCATGTGGGTGGTAGTCAAAATTATGGTCCTTTCTGGTATAGTACGGCACCTATTAAACCTATTATTTAGGGTACCTAATTTTGACAACCACCCATGTAGAGCAGGTCTTCAGCTTCGACCTGCCGAACTTGCGCCAGTGCCGCTCCGAAAGTCTTTGCAAGTCGAACGCCTCCCGTCCGGAGCTGAAATCCAGCTTCTGGCGTTGAGCTCCCAAGACCTTCCCAAAATCCTTTAATCAAGGAATAAGCGTTGAGTATACTTCCATTTTTTGAGTAGGCTGCCACATAAGGTGAATTCCTTAATATGAAAGAATATTAGGTTGAATATACTTGAAAACTACGATAGGATCCTACTAAAGTTGAAGCGATATTCCATAAACAAAGGATATTGGAAGGTCTTGGTCCCCACGAAGAGCCGGGTGTAGAGTTGCCTGATGCCGGGCCTCAATTCTAATTTGATCGGGTTTCGGGGGTACTATAGCATTATGGTTTTACGGTCTCGTTATTCTAACAATTCGGGCTTCTCTATGAGGGTTTGCGGGTGGTATTATAGTGTCGTTGTTCTAACTATTTCCGGCTTCTATGTGAGGGTCTTGAGAGTTGTTACCCCAAGGCTCCACGTACCTACTCCCCAAAATACAACCCCACGAAACCACTATCCTGGAGATGACACGTCCTCACGAGAAGCTGAGCATGGAGTTGTGAGTACAGAGGCCTGAGTAACTGCAACAAGGGCTTCGCGATGTATGAGAGTACAGTAAACCACCATAAAGTTGGAAACCGGATTAAGGCCGAATAGTGCTGGGATTCCCTATACATTACTCTTAAAGGATTGAGGCTATGGGGTTTCAACTTTTGGGCTTCTACTGCATCAGCATGACAAGGAACGCTCAGGGAGAGGATTGGCAACTTTTGGGGCTTGTATGTCTATTGTGAATTCGCAGCCACGAACCCTGAGCCCTGAACGCCATGTAAGCCGTAACCCCAAATCGTTTAATTAGCTTCATGTCTGAAGGCTGAATTTTTAAGCCCTTGAACCCTATAAGACCCCGAGCTTTAAACTCTAAACCCGAAAGTCTCAAGTGTCGTGGCTTTGTGCCTCGGAATCACATGCAGCCAAAGAAATGCTGCGAGCTTCTGCACCGCACTCGACCCGTCATACCGGGTCCCAAACCCCTCTTAGGGGTATCAGGTACAAAGCTACCTGGGAAGGATTCTGCACGCAGCGCACTTGGTGCACTTACCCAAAGGGTCCAAAGTGCCATATAGTAGAATGTAGGAATGTAGGGTTTCTCTATTAGGAAATGTTATTATGATTTGGGGAAGTACTCCCCATGACAGTACCGCCTGTAGATCCCTTTATTGGAGGAACCCTATAGATCCCTTAAAGGACCCTTTGGGTTAAAGCACATGCAAAGATGCAGGCTCGAGTCCCCCGCGGTTTGCCAGCAGCCAAATTCTGGCAGGCTCCCGCGTCGCGTGATAGACCTCGCGCGCATGCAAGACGGACAGAAATCCTAATGTAGGAACCTGTTTAAGAAACCCCTGGTCCTGTAACACCAAAATACTACCATTCATATAAGGAACCCTGATAAGGAGCCTAGGTTTCTTAACCAGGTTCCTAAATTTGAAATCCTGTTTAACCCTGGCCTGAGAACTTGGCGCTCAGGGTTTGGGGTATAGGGTTTAGGGTTCAGGGTTGGCAATGCAGAAGGTGAGTGGTGGCCCGAGTGAACAGCCACTTTCCGCTGGTTTCGCACCGGCTGTTGATACCCTTCCCCCTAAGGGTCCGAAGGACCCAATAATTGTGTACTCTGTAGCTTACTACTTTGGATTTTGGGACGTTTTTTTCCTTATTTGGGTTTATAAGGGACCCTATATATAAATATTTTTCAGGGTGTTTAAAGGCCAACCCAGCTTAGTATTTGAGAGAGTATATGATTATCAGGTACTTGTACCCTTAGGGTCCTGTGTGACTTGATATCTCCCGCTACCTCAGAACAGAGCCACGGTTTAGGGTTTAGGGTTTAGGGTTTAGGGTTTGCCGGCTTAGGGAACTTTTCCGATAGCCAGTCACGAATCAAAGGGGAAAAGGAGGGACCCTTAATGGGGACCCCTGCCCCATAATGGGCTATAGAATGGGTATATAATAGCTATATGAAGGGTATATACCTAGGGGTTCTTATTAAGGGTCCCTCCTTTTACCCTTGGAACGAATGGTAACTGGTAACTGCAGAGCAGACAGAGTCATATACCCAGAACGAGTCAAACCCCAGGCCAAATCCAAGATTCCAAGTTCGAAAAGTATCAGGCTCTCACTACTTAGCGGGTTTAGGGTTTAGGGTTTAGGGTTCACTACTTTGTCGATCGAAACATATTAGGCGCTCACTACTTAGCACGACTTTGTCGATCCCCGTCCTATGCTGACCCAGCCTACAGCCTAACTTGAAGCCCTGACCCTGAGGGTCCATGTACCCAAATAAATGACATATATGCTTTGGCCTTAAAGTACGCTGGGGCCGAAGTACATGCTGGTTGGGTACATGAACCCCTAGGGTATCGCGCTGACCCTAAACCCTGAAAACCCCAAACCCTATATAAACCCTAAACCCTAGCAGCCCTGAAACCCTAAATCCCAAAAACCCCAAACCCTACATAAACCCTAAACCCAAGCAGCCCTAAAACCGTAATTAAACCTTCAATAAACCCTACCTAGAGGCTCCATAGTAGTTCCTTTTTGGGTTTCATATTTAGAATCCTATAAGGTAATCCCAGAAAGGAACTACTATGGAGCCTATGGGTAAACCCTAGCAACCCTAAACCCCTAAACCCTAAATAAACCCTGAACCCTAAACCCTACCAGCCCTACTACGCCCAGTTCCCTCTCCACGTGCGCAGGAGGAGTTGCAGCTGCTCTGCTCAAAGGAGGGCAAGGAGACCTACCAGGCTCTCGAAGACTCCTTTAAGGGATCCTTCCCTAAACCCAGCTTCCAGGAGGCCGACTTCGGTGTCCCATTGATGAAAAAATGGCACTGGCTACTCCACATGCCAGACTTCTTACAGAAACATGCATGGGGACCTACTATCCACATTCACCACGGAGACCTACCAGGCTCCCCAAGACTCCTTTGACCTATATAGTAGGGTTCCTTTCCAGGCTTCTTTAAAGGGATCTATAGCTTCCTTTAAGGGTTCCTATAAGGGATCTATAGGGTATGGGAGTTTCCGAAAACAGGAGTACCTTATTTTGCTACCCTTTGTGATAGGGATCCTACTATTTAGGGTACTATCTTAGGGTCCCCTATTTTTGAGAACTCCCATGTAATAGGGTTCCTTTAAAAGGCTTCTTTACAGGGATCTATAAGAGTTACTATTTTATGGCTTTATAGGGGTTTTAGGGGTACTAAAAGGGATCGCTAAGCGTCCAAGTCGTCCTTGCTTGGGTACCTTCGAAATCAAAGGGCCGAAACCTTGATCCCCGAAGCCCGAAACCCGGGGTCAACCCTGAAGCCCTAACCCCGAAGCCCAAGCGTTCGGTTAGGCTTTGGGCTGCAGCCAGTAGAAAAGAGTCGAGCCGAGAAGCTCGCAAGGATTCACGGAAAAGCCGCCGGTTCAAGTAACAGAATAGGGTCCTTAGTAATTAGAAGAGGGTTTTGGGGATGTTCTAAAGTGGCTGTTACGAGGAGCTGTAATGAACACTTTAGGTAATTAGTCAGGCTTCTATACTAACCAGCTTGTCGGGTTTAGGTATTAAGTGCTGTACGCTGAGCGTTGTTTGCACCGAAAAGCTTAAGCTGTTTGGCATCTGCCCCGGCGTACAGGCCCTAAATCTTAAACACCAATTGCAAACACATGTGCACAAGGAGCCTTAATTCCGAGTGCGAAGTTAGAACCAGGGGCCAAGTTAGAACCACCCCAGGGAAGTTAGAGCCACCCTCCGTAGTAGGGTTTGTGTAAAACAAGCACTATAGTACTAGCGAGATGCCTTAAAGGGGACCCTTCTTAACCCTCCTTCTGGTTCTCTTAAACGGGACCTACATCCCCAAAGATCCCCTTAATCCTAACTCCTACTGGAAGCTCTGGGAGCGAACCGCATCTGCGTTCTTTGGAGGCGTACACCAACGAAAGCCTCGTCCTCAGCACATTAGGGTTTAGGGTTTGGGGGTGGGTAGGTCTGAAGCATGGGTGCCTCGTTCTGGGATCTTTGATCTATCTAGTTAAGGCGTAAGGGTTCTTTCTACATTGGAGGCGTTGGTGTTCAGAAAAGCCAGTTTCTAAATTTTCAACACCTTCATATATAAGAAAGCCATCCATGAAGCCCCAAACGGCACGGTAGTATGTTGTTGTGTGTAGGTTCTATGGATGGCCCCTCTGGGTTGCGGTGTTCCGGTCCTTGGGATTCCGAACAGTGCACTTTACTGCAACTGAGTTGCTTATGAGGGATACTAGCATAACTTGGCATATTCTTTATGAAAGGCTTCTAAAGTCCCTGGGTGGGCCTGTCGGGAGGCGCCCTTGCCCCTCCCCGAAAAAAGGTGTCGGACCTGGTAACACAAAGCAACTCTACACCCAAAAGTCATGTAAACCTTGAACAATATGGCGCCCGGCGCCAGGTGTCTCCTTAAACGCCGAAACCATGAACTCTGAACCCATAACCCCACTCCCCTCCAACAAAAACTACGTATAGTACCCCTTATGGAAGCCCTACAGAAGCCCAGACTTCTGGAAAAACCCTTATAGAAGCCCTCCTATTGTAATACCCGGGCTTTGGTGCCAGTACACAGCGGCCATAGCCAGCACTTGTCGCACACGCTGCGCAAGTGTCATCCACTTTCCCACAGGCTCCATGTACCTTTATCGTAGATACTTAGGCCTGAAAGGGGTCCCTATATAGGTACTTTCAGGCCTATAAGTACCTACTATATGGGTGCATGGAGCCTTAGGGGCTGCCGCTTGCCTGCGCTCTGCTTGTGCTCTGGCCGACGGTGCAGAAGCCACAGTGCTGGAACAGGACGTGCGACTCCGATACTTGCAGCCTCCCGCACAGTCGTGGGAGCTTTTGCTTGCTTCCAAGTCAGAACGCCGCTATGGCGAAGTCACAGCACGCATTCGGCGCTTGTTGCGCAATGCCCGCGGTGCGGAATTGCCAGACAACCTGAAGCAGCATGCTGACTCTCTGGGGAATACGTCAGATCTGGGCTACTTGATTCCCAGTCGATACGACCTGTGCCTTCTTTGCAGAGATATGCAACGGCAGTGCTTTAGCGTCTGGCAGGACCCCGCCCATCGATGGCGAAGCTCAGCTCAGAGCTTCGGGTGTGCCGTTCTGTGGCGAGGGCTTCCGATTTAGGGTTGAAGGCTCCGGGTTAAGGTTTATACCAGCACCCCCCCAAGTTCCCTTCAATGGGTCCCTTATGGTCCTTAATAATGGGTACTTAGGGTATGATAGAGGGTAGTTGCGCGGAACTGTTACGGTGCCAGATCCAAGATTTTCGGTTTGGGGATCTAGGGTTACGGCTTGGGGCCGAGGGCAAAATGTAGGGGGTCCAAGTACCCGATACGTAAGTACGTAGGTTTACGCAGTTGTACGGGTTTCCGTAGGAGGGCTGGCGGCAAGTCTTCCTTAAGCGGGTTGCATGGATTTCGGGGCTTGTTTAGGGTTTTAGGGTTCAGGGTAAGGGTGCCATGGTGGCGCGTGCAGGGTATTTGTTATCAGATTCTGAGACCAGCGTTTCCATGGAGCCTCCTGGCATGTCTGCCCGCTTGAAGGTTCAGGGGACAAAGTACATGCGGTCTATGTGTATAAAGGTAAAGAAATACAGTACCCCCACTCAGAGGACTTGTAGTTCTACTTCAGCCACAACTAATACTAAATCCTAAGGTAAGCCCTGCCCTAAGGCTCATGGACCTTTGTAGTGAGATCCCAAACCCTAGCCCCCAAAGCCGAAACCCTCCCCCAGAAAGCCCAAGACCCTCTTAGGAGCATTACAGTAACACACAAAATCGAAACCCTAAACACTAAATCCTAAACCCCAAATCCTTTTTGGGATTACCTTATAGGCTTCTAAATATGAACCGAAAAGGGGACCACTATGGAGCCTCTAGGTAAACCCTAAAACCCTAAATCACTGAGTAGCTACTTCCCCAAATCATAATAGCAATTCCTAGTATAGAAACCCTACATTCTACTATGCAGGTACTTTGGACCCTTTGCTAAGCCAACGGACCCTAAATCACTGAGGCTACACGTATGCGGAGCTCCTTGAGAAGTTCCCCAGCTGCCAGGCGCGTCGAGACATTCACCCGGTGGTCGTTTCTCTATGGGCATACAGTAAACCTGGAGGATAAGAAAGCCATCCATGAAGCCCCAAACGGCTCGCGATTGGCGAAGCTCAGCTCAGAGCTTCGGGTTTGCCGTTCTGTGGTGAGGGCTTCCGATTTAGGGGTTGAAGGCTCCGGCTTACAGTAAGACCCATGAAGTTGGAAACCGGATTAAGGACAAATAGTGCTGGGATTTCCTATACATTACTCTTACGGATTGAGGCTATCGGGTTTCCAACTTTTGGGCTTCTGCTGTAGGTGTTGGGTGTACGCTAAGGGTCCAGGTCTCTCCTTACGAAATCTCCTAGGAGTTCTTGGGTCTCTTTGGGGTTTCAGAATCCCTTAATCTTGAGGTTCCCCACCTTGTTAGGGCCCTTAGGGTAGAGTTTAGGGGCTGACGAGGAGGTTCGGGTTAGGGTCTTACAACCCCCAAGGGTCCAAAGAACCCCATGATTAGGTTCTCGGTTTTAGGATAGTCGTTATGTAGGTTAGGATTTTGGAGAGTATATTTTTTTTAGGTACTTGGACCCTTGGGGAACTATTTCACAGTTCAGTGGAGGTTCTAGAGAGATGTAGGGCTTTGGTTCTCACGAGTCCGAAACACAGACACACCTGCGCCCACTCTGCAAGCCCTGAACCCTGTGTACAGTACATACTAAATCCTACCTAAGTCCGGGTTGAACCTTTCTGGGAACGGCTTATAGTGTACGGCTGCACGGCTATCGGACCCCATTGAACATCTAATTAGCCGACATTAAACAACAAAAGGTTAGAGCTTTATGAGGCCTTGTGGGTTTTAGTATATTCAGATTGGTCATGCTACCCCATCCTCAACCCTAAACCTTCTGTACATGTTTTAAAAGTACGATAGGCCACGACAGTAAACGACAGTATGCTACGCACAGTTTACCGGAGTTCAGGGCTATAACTAGGACCCGGAGTAGGCCCTTATTCCCTCTTTTAGGCTTTAGGTTCCCCTATAACCCCCTTTAAACCAAAAAAGGGCATCCTTTTCATTCCTAGGTTACTCTTGGGCCTAGATAAGGTTTCACGTCTAGGGTTGTTTAGAGGCTCAGGCTTCAGATGTTCGAGGCTTTTGTCATGTCATAGGAGCCTCAGAATCCAGGTTTTAGGGTTTGATGTAGGAACCTGATCAAGAAACCCTGGGCCTACAACCTCATATAAGGAACCCTAATAAAGGCCCAAGGTTTCTTAATCAGGTTCCTACATTAGGGCTGCGTCATCCCACCAAGACCCCTTGCCTGAATTGCAAACCATTGCCAACCGCCATTCTACACAGAGGCTCTGCCATGGCTTGCATTATAAAGGGACCCGAAAAGCACAAAAGCATAAGCATTTTATGGGGATATCCCAACCTTATTGGGCTTCATTATAAGTAGGTTTATATGGGATATCCCTATCCTTATTTTGGCTTATGTGCCTTTTTGGGGGCCCTAATTATGCATTCCCCAAAGGTCCGTGTACCTCATCCAAAACCCAAGAGAATATTAACACTCATATTTTATTGTGGCTCTAAGGGTGGTATAGAAATGTAATAGTATATGCCTTGACCCAAAAGGGTACATGGACCCTTACCCTAAGGCTCTAAGGACTCACATATTAAGGCTTTTGGGCCCAAAGACCATACTATACAAGGCTTTTGGGCCATTTTGAGCCCTAAAACCCTAAACCCTAAACCCTAAACCGGGGGTTAGGGATTCTGAAAGAGCTGAACTCTTGCGCAAGAACCTGCGCCAGGAGCATCGAAATCAGGGCTCCTAGGTCCCGACGATAGGGTTTAGGGGTTCAGGGTTTAGGGTTTATAGGGCTTAAGGTTAGGGTTTATAGGGTTTTAGGGTTTTAGGGTTTAGGGCTTAGGGTTAGTGTTGAAGGTGTTCACCCTGGGTGGCCATACCCTGCAGCGAAGCTCACGCAGAATGTTTTCTATGGCTGGGCGCAGAGGCGACTCACGATCTCAACGAAGCAACAAGAGAACCGACAAACCAACAAACGACCTGTACAGCTTTACAAGTTGTTGGTTACAGTACACATGGCTCAAGAGGCTTTCCTACGCAGCCTTCCCCTAAGCCAAAGGATACAGGAAACACACATGTACAAGCCTACCTGAAGGAAACTATACAAGTGCCGGCAATCCCTTCAAGCAGACTACACACCTGTCTAACCTGATACCTGGGCATGCAGTGAGAAGCATTTCAACACTCCTCCTTGCTAGAGCCGACAGGCAACTAGCACACGCTGCACTATTTACAGCATGCCCGTTCCTGGGACCTCTAGCCTTGAACCTTGGCTTGCCTTTAGAGACCTGTGCGGTGGCGGTCTCTGCAAACACGGCACAAGTTGCGGGTAGTTAAGGGTGTATTACGCCTTAAACCCCAACAATTAGAATCTAGATGAACACAATCCCCGTGCGCAGTGAAGTAAAAGGGACCTTGGGGAAGTTCATACTGCGTGCGGATTTCGATCCTGGCAGGCATCGGATCTGGTGGGACTCCTGTGACTGGTTGGAAAGCAGGCTCACGATCCGTTTGAGTAGACTGCTCACGCACTGCAGGGCGGCGACGAGACTGTGTGGCCTTGGGCCGTGGTGCAGCAGGCAACTCGTGGGAGGACTGCGAAGGCACAGGTGCCCTCTCGTTGTGAGCTGTGGACTCACCTGCTGGTGGTCTGGAAGACACGTCCTCAAGACTCATGCCCTGCAGTTGGGCAGCAAGCTCATCCTCAACAGCTCTCTGCATACGCCTCAAACGCCGGGCTCGACGAGACGACGCATGCGAACCAGCCCACCACGCATCAAGCCGATCCCACAATCTCTTCAACCACTCCCACACAACAAGGACACAAACCAATGCCATGCCAAGAACGAAGTACAGCTCCAGGGATCCATCAAGCTGCAAGCCAGGATACTCGGATTCACGGCTTGAGCTTCGTGCAGGTTGGATTTGAAGCAAACACAACAAGGCACTCAACGCGACTGGGTCGACAGCTGCTGACGAGCTCGGCCTGACCTCTCGGTCGGCTGTATCACCCGCAAAGTCACGCATGCCCCATAACCTGACAAGCTCTTCAATCCTTGCAGACGGAAGAGGTTTGGTCAGTAGATCTGCAAGCTGTTCCACACCCGGGCAGAAGGCAAGCCTCAGCTTCCCAGAGCGAGTCTGCTCACGAAGGTACTCAGCTCTTACCCGTAGGTGTCGCGTTCTCCATGATCCATGACCGTCAGAAATCGCAAGTGACGCTTGGGAATCAACGTGCAAAACCCTTTCTTCCGCAACGTCAAAACCAACCGTGTGAAGCAACGCCTCAATTGATTCAAGCGCGATTGCACACTCAATCGAAGCAGTGAGTTCACTTTCAGCAGTAGAAAGTGTCACAAAAGCTTGACGCGCCGACCTCCAAGCAACTGGACATCCATGCACACACACGCACCAGCCTCCATGTGAGCGAAGGCCTTCTGGCGAGAAGCTTGCGTCACTCCAACCGTGAAGTTGGGTTCCGTCCGCCTCAAACACCAGCGACGCTGTCTTGGTTCGCTGCAAGTAAGCCAAGGCACGGTCAGCAATGCGTAGAGCACGACAAGGCGCCTTCGTAGACAAACTAGCAAGCAAGCTGGCAGTGAACGCCAGGTCCGGGCGAGTACGTTGAGACAACCACAGCAGTTCACCAGTCACCTGTTGCGCGCGGTGAACGGCCTCCCCGTCAGGGGGGCTGGAGTCTCCTTCGCCAACTTCAAACGACGCTAGCTCCCGAGGACAAGGGATTCTACCCCTCACGTGGCAAGGTACCTCATGAAGCCGCAAGACTTCTTCTGCGTACGACTGCTGTGAGAGAACAAACCCACGAGGAATGACAATGATGTCCACGCCAAGGAACTTGATCGGCTGCTCTGGGGTAGCTACCACAAACGGTGTTGTGGCCCACTTTTCTTGCAGAGCCTTTGCCAAACTTTGAAGGACACCTAGCGACCCACACAACAAGAAGTCATCAACGTACACCAACAATGCGCCCTCAACGCGACCACCTTCAACCCTGACGACTTTCCACCAGTTCGGGTCTAGGGTCGAAGGCTCAAGCCGGTAGGTCACGCCGTCAAGGTCCCACACCAACGCTGCCAAACAAGCATCTCGATACTGTCCCCACAAGCGCGGGGCCTCTCGAAGGCCGTAAACCGCGTGGGATAGTATCCACAGCTCATGTGCAACTGCAAGACCAAGCTTGACCAACAAGCGGGGCGGGGTCAACGCAAAGATGGGGAAACCTTCAAGACAAGGAATAGGCGTTTTGAGGAACGCGCTGGTGATATCCAACACTCCCAACAACCAACCAAAGAAGCTTGCCAGGGCAATCACTGTTCTCAAGCTCTCAGCCTGAGCACCTCCAGCATACACATCCAAGCCTGTATTTGGCGCCACATTTCCGCAAGCAACAAGTCTCGCTTTCCGACGGTACAACCTTGGCCTTGCGACGAAGCCTTTGGAGCGCCCTGAAGGGCCTCTGTACTGTTGTCGGGCTGAGTGAGCGCAAGCTTCCCAGTGTCACCAACAGCTGCTGCCCCTTGGTCGGGCGGTTTCACTGTGAACACAAACTTGGAAGGTACCACCTGCAGTCGAGGATCACTCAAGTACTCGGCCTGCCTGGGGTCTGAAGGGCGCAGTCTGAGCACAGCATGCTCAATGGCCTTTACTTCTTTCTCAATGGACGGAATCCAAGGGATTGGATTGAGTGCGACTTCTCCGGGGTCTACAGTGTGAACGATTTGCAGAGGTGAGCTTAGATTGCTTAGAAGGTGTTCTATGTTCTTCGTGAACGTCGGTTCGGCTTTGCACAGGCGGTAGGGGATTACGGGTCTACCTTCGCTTACGAAACCCTCCTCCTCTAACGAGCTCCGCGAACCACTTTCTACAACCTTAAGCACCCTCAAACTGCAGTTGCTGGCGTTTGCGGCA